GACTTATTAATAAATAAAAGAGCCCAACATTATCTAAATAGTGATACATAACCTTTCAAGACAATTTGAGGAAGGTCGGGCGGCCCAAACATTACTTTGGGCTCAACCTGCTAAAAATAGCAAGTATTCGAGAATGGCGTCCTAGACCCACTTGGGAGTGACCACACGGCTAGTATCCAAATAATATGTATGACAAATGTCAAAATAAGTGATAGAATAATTAGAGAAGAATACAAATGCCTATAGCCCCATCTTTGGCATTATTGAGCTAAATAATGGGAGTAGGGTTTTTCTTCTATAAAATTCATCATATAAATTATTGAGATGAGCCTACACATGTTGGAGATCAATAATGTGATGTAGTAAGTTGACTTGTTCTAAATAAATTAGGATGAGTACAAAAAGACATCTTTTGACAAAAGATAAAATAATAGGACCCATCTTCCCATTTTTGGAAGTATTGGTAGATGTTTTGGACCCCAAATTGATTGGGATCACTTGGGGAGCACCCCACACCTTCTTGGCACCTGCAAAATAAAGAGAATGAGTTAAAATCCTTGGTTGGGGCGGACAAAAAGAGAGGAGGGCTGAACAAGACATGTTTGTGAACCAAATGGACCCTCTCCCCATTTTTTATTGAAGGTATCTTGCTCCATCATCCCACATGCCAACCCACTCCTATCCTTTGACTTTGGAGGCTAAGTTAAGGCCAATATAACACTTCCCCAGCTCTCATTCGAACTCCCCAAGATAAGAGAGAAGAAGAGAGCCACACAACCTAAGAGAGCAAGGAGAAAGCAAACTGCCCGCAGGTTTTTCCTCCAGTGCAAGGGTTACTTGTTTGCTTCATATCTCGAGTTATACACATCCAAATAAGGCGTATTATATACCAAAAGAAAAGCTCTCAAGACGAGGAATCCGTGAAGGTCTGGTTTGAGTCCATCGGAGTAGAGGAAGGCTTCCAAATCGTCCGAGCAAAACACGACCTTGCAGAAACGGATTTGCTCTCCTAAGTGAGTTTTGACCCCAAAACCTTTCCTTTCTTTTCCCTAATGATATGATCGACTTGTGGAACTATTATACCCTACTCCAAGTGTATAATATGTCCTTGTAAAGTTATTTTATTGATGTAAAGGTTGGATACTAACCTAGAGTAACTTTGGAGAAACTAGGAATCGAGTTAGCCGGAAAACACCCATTCTAGGGGCTGTTTTCGTATCAACGATTTGGGGGTTGGACTAGCACTTTGAGGAGGCTGTTTAACACTCATATTTGAGCAAGGAATCAGTTCCAAATCCACCTTGACCAAAGCTTTGACCATTGGACCAAGGAGGGAGAGTTTAAAGCTCAATTGAGGTGAGGATTGACATCTAATTGCTTACAACTTGTAGGTTAAGCATGGGATTACCTAAATGCCTAAATCATAGTTTTTTATGGATTATGATGATTATATAATGATGAAATATGGACATAGTTGCCAAAGAATGAAATTGGAAATGATTTGAGAATGTATGAATAAAATGAGATTAAATGAGTTATAAATGAACTATTTAGTGAAATAGGCATTTTACTCATGTATGAGTTATGTGGATATATAAATGAATGTTTATGTATTGAGATTGAATACTTAAGTTGCTGCTACATAATTATTAATATGTAGAGGATTACAAATAATGAGCATATTTGTATGATAACAATAATCTTAATAGTATGAAAATACTAGTTAGTGATTATTGGAAATTGTTGATGGAATTGATCCTAGGGATTGGATTGTAGGAAATGCACTTGAGTATACTTCAAGTGTATATGATGACTTAGTATGAAACTAAGGTTAAGTGGTGGGAAGTCTTTAAGGATGACCCATGGTAGTTCATTGATATGTCAATTCTAGGCATAGGGTTGCTTAAGAATTGGACCTTCATGCATGGTGATGTGATAGAGCCGAGCTCTAGGATGCATGGTAAGGGGGTAGACTTGTAGTCTATGTATTGAATAGCTAGAGCCGAGCTCTAGGGCTTGCGTGGTGATGTGGTAGAGCCGAGCTCTAGAACGCAAGGTAAGGAAATTGACCCGAGTGACATGAATTGTATGGTGATGTGGTAGAGCCGAGCTCTAGAATACAATGTCATGTGTTAGGGTTGGACTCTATGAGTTGTCGTGGCTTATAGCCACGGGGAATGGGAATGGTGATTTGTAAATGAACATGGGCCCACAGGCCGACTACTTGACTTTTATATAAAGTAAGTATATTTTCAAACAGGGTAACTTAGGGTTACAAATCATAATGTACTATCACCCTATTTGAGGGTCTTGTGTTTGAAATACTTGTTGTATATCTATTAGATACCTGCCACACCAGTACTTTATAGCCGTATAGAGTACTGACCCCTTCGGGGGCGTCCTACCACCATTTCAGGTTGAGGCTAGAGCTTGCATCCTGTGCTCGTTGATCGAGTGATCCCTCGGAGAGAAGACATGGTTCGTGCTTCCTCCATTCTATTTGAAACATTAATGAATTTGCTCATGGATATTTTACTATAGAGCCTGCGTGCTCATGAATAGCCCTGTGTGGCTCTTTTGTTTTAACAATGTTTTCTGCTGCGTTATGAATTACTTATTATGTTTGTTTATGGATGTTATGTGTGTGAATGATATTCAAGATGCCTTGTATAATATGAATGTGTTGGACTGCGGTTGACTATTCGTATTGTACGGCGGGTTGTTGACGTGTCCGGGGAGGTCCGGGGCGTGACATTATCTGTTGTCAAACATCGTGAACTCAACGAGAACCTTTACCTGGGCCGGAGGTAGTAAAATATGTTCATTCGATCTCTTTTTCATTTGAGTAATGTGACTTGATTTTTCCCTTGCAACACACATGTTCATCGTCTAGTTTTCATTTAAAGTAACAAATATGAGGCTAAAATCATTTTTCTTGCATTTACATAAATATCAACCACACTGTTTTTACTTTATTAATCGCAAATTAACTTTGACTAAGTTTGTTTTATGGGATGATGAAATATTTAGTAGGGATATACGGAGTAAATATTAGGAGTATTACCTCCGTCCCATTAACATTGGGACAAGAAGAGGTGACACGATTATTAAGAAAAATGAGTTTATATGATTGATATTAAATTGATAAAGTAAGAACAAAGTAAAAATAATTTAAAACTACACAAATTTTAAACAATTACTACTACCTCCGTCCCTTTTTTTTGGGACGGAAGAGGGTGACACGAGTTTTAAGAAAAGTGGGTTTGTGTGGTTGATATTAATCGATAAAGTAAGAATAAAGTAAGAATAATTTTGAGTCATACAAACTTTACCAAATAAGATATGAAACAATTAAATAAGGACATCCAATATGGTAAAACAGTGCATTTAAAAGGGGACGGAGAGATTAATATTTATAGAAGAATGACGGGAATATGTGTGACGGTTCTCAAAGACAGAAATAAGGCTGCTTATCAATTTGGACGGAAATAAGACCACACTTGACGTGAAGAGACGAAATTGTCCTGACTTCCTCAACCACCTCTGCATTTATGCGCCAATCTTCGTCTATCTCAGCAACTACCCTCAAACACAAATCAGTGTTTCAAGCAACCTCACATCCCTCGCTCGAATTTCACATCTACTGATCCACATAATTCTCATATCCTTGTCGAATATTCTCGTTGTCTATGGTTCGTAGTTGGTACGTTTTCAGATCGGGAAATGTTGGTTGTGGCGGTGGAGGGCGGCAGGGTATCCGGTTGGGCTGGTCATCGACAATTGGAGCGGGGCTAGGTTGGTATCGGATTGGTGTGGGGCTGGCCAGGGCTTGTCGAGAATGGTTGGGGGTCAATGGTTGGAATGGAGGGACAACAGAGACACAATGGTCGCCGGATATGGTGGGGCTGTTCTCCGGTGGTTGGACTGGAGTCGCCAGAATTTGATGGGTGGTGATGGGGCAGGGGGTTAGGTGAGGTAGGGACGGTGCTAGGTGGAGTGATTGGGCAGGGGGCAGGGCTAGGGTGGACTGGTGTGGCAGGGATGATGCAAGGCAAGGGGCTGGATGGGGGCAGGGGATGTGGAGGACGCAGCAGCGGTGGTCGAGATTGGCGGTGGTCGACACTGGCGGTGGTGATCGTTGGTAATGGGCGGTGATGATGGTTGGCGGTGGTCATTTTTGAGCGGGTCTTGCAAATGGTTGGACTGGATAATTGGTCGAATTGAGTATCCGTATAATTGTAATTGGATGAATTGGAAACTTGTAATTGAATGGGTTGGGTAACTGTAACTGAACGGGTTGGGTACCTGTATCTGGACGAGTCATGTAAATGTAACTGAGCGGGTCAGATAACTGTAACTGGACAAGTTGAACAATTGCAAATTGACGTGCCGGGTTGACATTAGTCACTGGACGGACGTTAGTCACTTGGCGGAATTTTTGGTCACTGACGAATTTTGGTCACTGGTGAATTTTGGATTTTGGTCACTAATGATTTTTGGTCACTGCATGAATTTTGTAACTGTAACATTGGTCACTGCACATTTGGTCACTGTGACGGGTTACTGTAGCAGGCCAGTGGGTTTGGGCTTAGTAAGGATGTAATAGTCCCTTAAGTATTATTTAGTCTTATTTTGGAACTTAAAAGAAAATCTCTTTTTTTGTCCAAATACTTTTAATTAGTACTCCCTCCGTCCCAAATTGTTTTGCAAAAGTCAACATTTTTTAGTCAACCAATAATAAAAGTCAATGCTCTGTATCGATAATTAAGTTAATTTTTAATAATTAAATTTTATATATTCAGAAACTACATTAAAATCTCTTCAAAGTTGTAAACTCCAAATTAGATTATAATTAAAAATTGACATCCTAATTAAGCGAATAAAATGAAAATGTTTGATCAAAAAAAGTCAAATTTGTAAATCAATTTGGGACGGAGGTAGTATTATTTGAGCACAAACCCCAGTATTTATTAAGCTCAATGCACATGTCATCTGATCAGGTTCACTGGAGAGCGATCCCCCGGGACTTTGGGACTCCTGAAAGCTGTTGAGCGGAGTAAAGTATGGAAAATGATCTAATTTCCGCAGTCCGAGTGTCCGACTTCAATTGTTTCATTTTAACGAGCAGATAGAGAGAGAGAAAGAATAGCTTCATGATGCAGCGATGGGGGGTTAAGGTGGCTCTTGGGTTGATGGCGATGTGCTTGGCTGGATACATTTTAGGCCCGCCGTTGTACTGGCACCTCATTGAAGGATTTGCGGTGGCGGTAACCCGTTCTTCTTCTCCTTACTCTTCGTCATGCCCTCCTTGCCATTGCGACTGCGATTCTCACCCACTCCTCTCCGTTCCTCGAGGTAAAAGCCCCGCCCGATTTAGGCCCAGATCTGCATATAGCTCTGTTTCTCTCTCTGTTTTGGAATTAGTAGTAACCATTGCTATATCTGGATGAGTGGATGACATTGCTAAGACTTTATTGTACTTTTCCATTTTCCAAGTGATGCCCGGCTTGGTAATTTCGCATCCCAGGTTTGAATGTATGAATGATTAATTGATGTGGTGGATCTGGTTTCTATAAATCTCCAACAACTTGGTTAATTTCTTTCTTTTTTCTTTTTTTGGATGGGGATACAAATTTACAAATTGTGTGTACTTAGAGTTAACAGAGGCGGATTTGGGGATACTGATTTGCTACTTATTCTAAAAATATTATTTATTTTTTTCAAAAATTTCTTTTTTCTTTGTACTATCACTCCTCAGTCCAGCCCAATACAGATTCAATGATCCGCCCCTACTGAAAGAAGAGAAGCCAACACATTTCCAGCCCCATTAGGAAGTTTGGTATGGTTTTCCTGTTATATACTCCGTACGTCATAGTATAATTTATAAAGTCCTCAGCTGAAATCACTAATAGAGTAATAGAGAATTAAGAGCATCATTTGGGATAACTCTTTAGTTGAATAATTCTAATTGTGGGTTCGGTAAAAGTTAATTCAAGCTAGACAGAGAGTTTATTGATTTGACATAGATACTACGTAGTATAAGTTTCGAGCAAATAACAAATGAATACGACGTTAATTTTCAAAATGTACTTGTAAAATTAAAGAAATGAAACATAAATGTGTATTTTTTCCTGTGAATTATACTCGTGCACACTCTCGTAAGTGTGTGATCAATATTCTTAGAATTCGAAGTATATAATCTCAATTTTACCTATTTCAAAATTTAAATAGTTGGGGTCGTAACTTTTGGTTTGGAATGGGTTCCAAGACCTATAACATACTAAAATGAAGGTATTTCGACACTCTACATGCTCAAACTTTCAATGGGGTCAACTGCCACCCTGACCCCTTCGCTCGGCCCTTGTGCGTAGCTCTTTGTTGGCTCAATTACCATGGTTATGTGGTCTTATCCAGAAGGCGTTTTGTTAGTTTTATCTTTATTACTTTCTTTCCTCATTAATCTAGTAATTTATTCTAATAAACCAAACTACGAGATTTAGATTCCATCTTTATTCCCCACTCTTTCTTCTCCCACTTTGCTTCTCCCTTTATTTTTTTTGTGTGCACAAAACGAGGCTTAGTATGAGTGAAGGAAATCTGATTTGCACTATCTTCTTATCTCACACTCTCAGCAAAAAAAACGTTGCTGTTATTAGTGGTAGTTTGATATTTAAAAGCCCTCATGTAGCGGTTTTATATACATTTTATTTACCATTTTTATCATCGATATTTCTGTCTTAAATTTCTTTTTATTGATACTATCAGCATGTATTTGTGTTTTTTTATCTTTTATCAAATTGAATCCTCACAAGAATCTACTCTTTTTATTCCTTACAGGATTGAGCAATGCCTCTTTTACAGGTTAGTGATAGTTGATACATTATAAATATTCCATACACATATATAGGTCCAGACAAAGTATTACTTTACGTCTACTTCAGAGCTGTTTTATGAAGTTGATCATTCCTATTTCTACAAAAATGCTTCCTTGAAAAAAATGGCTGTAAGGATTGTTTGTTACCTAATTACCTTCAAATAGGAGTGCACACAGTTCCGCAAAATGGACCTAAATTGGGCGGGTAATGAACCTGATCGGTTCCTCCGATTCCTGTTCAGAACCGGAACTAGTGTTCGGAATAGGTTCGAACCGTTTTGGTTCTGCCAAACCGGATCCATTTTTCCCAGTAAAGGTTTTGGACTTTTGGTTCCTCTTAATCCCCAGCAGAACCATCCTGGGTCCACCCTTACCTTCAAAAGATCTAATTACATGAGGAACTACTGTAGCAGTTTCCCTAAAAGACAAGATGGTTGCTTCCATATATGCACTCTTTTTCTTCACCTTTTCAATTTTCTGAAATTAGTACATGGGTCAATTTAGTAGTTCAGGTGACTTAAAATGAATGTTTATTTAATGGGAAAAACACGTCCTCTAATTGTTAGAACATCCTGGAAACCATATGAGTGTAGTCCTCTACTGTATCACAAAGTTAAAACTGTTCACCCCCCATCTAAGAGACATTATTATATTCTATGCACAGTGGTAGTGGACGGAGTGAAAAAGTGCATGTGGTAAAACATTAGGTTCTGCATTCCATTGGTGATTTTCTAGACTTCAAATCACACATTAGCTTCAGATTAAATACTCGGATAGCTTACACAGTCAATTATAGCTTATTATTTTCCTGACCGCTGAATTAAAAAAAAAAACAGAATGTGCAAAACATGATCCAGAAGTGGGGGAGGACACGGAAAAGAACCTCGAAGAATTATTATCCGAGGAACTGAAACTGAGAGGCATTGAAGGTGTGGATAATCAGAGACGTGCCGACACAGCACTGCTAGAGGCTAAAAAGCTGACATCTCAGTATATGAAGGAAGCAGACAAGTGCAATTCCGGAATGGAGACTTGTGAAGCGGCGAGAGAAAAAGCAGATGCATCTTTAGTGGCACAGAAAAGATTGAGTGCCACATGGGAAACACGAGCTCGTGAAATGGGATGGAAGGACACGTTTGGCAAGTCTCATTCTCTATCTCAGGGAGGCTTGGAGACCATGTGAAGTTTTGTTTTGCATGCTCTCATTGGTGTCAAGCCTGACCATAAAAGGTTGAGTTTGGGAATTACAAAGAGCAAATGATCTCCAAAAGAAGATAATAATTATCAGACCTTCAATCTTGGAGCGCGCTTTCTCTGTGTTACTCGCTCTGATTATCTGTCAGCATCTGTTAACCAATTAAGTAATTCATATATAAAAAGCTAACAACACAAGGTGCGTGCAAGCCCCCAAGCCGGCTGCCTAAGATCTACTGAAAGAATTGTTGCTACCTGCATAGTTCACGAATGAGTAGTCATTGCACCGATATACAAATTATGTACCTGTGTGTGAGCTTGTTTTATAATGACTTTTGATTGATTGATTTTCATTTACATTTCTAAATTTGTAGGGAATTTTCTTATTGTAGTTGTGTTGGAAATTTCGTCAAGGCTCTTTATAAATGCTGGTGTGGTAACTTAACTTTTTCGTTTAGTCCTATCAGCCAATTGGAAACATTGATAAACATTGATAAATAATACTACGTATTCTTTCTGTCCAATTATCTTCCAAGTCCCAAAATATTGAAGTAACTTTTTTGACTAATTGATTGGTTTAACTATTTTCATATAACTTTTTCTTTATGTTATTAGTAAAAAATATTTTAATTTTGATTTCATATTTCAGGAGTTTCAATCACTCCAGCCAATATTTCATGAATTCCAGTATTATCAGATATGCATGCTCTAATTTATCTTCATTTTATTAGTATATTTATTTTATTAATAAAATTATTTTAAGTAATTTGATTCATAAATCATATGATTCAACATTTCATGTTAATTTCTAACTATATATTGTTTTTTTTTTAACTAATTTCGCATTTTACATTTATAATGTATATTTTTGCAATTATTTTATTTTCATGCGGTCTTTATTTTTAATTTTCTAATGTCAATTTGTAACTCATAAGCATTAAATAGGTTAGTAATTAAACATTGCTCGTTATTAAGTATAGAGTAATTAATGCATCATTAAGACAACAAATTTTCACTTCTTTTGACTCCAAATGAATTTCTATTTGGATCTCCAGTCTCCACCATACTCCTGTCACCTCAATAAGCCCAAGTACTTCGAACAACCAAAATAAGCATCTGGACACCCCTCAGGCCCAATCCCGAGGGCTACAAACAACGATGACACTCCATAGAAAGGTCATCCTACAAATGCAGTCCCAGATGTTCCCAAACTAGGTCTCAGTTTAATGCTTCGCCACGTGCCCACATCAGCCTTACATCAATGCTCTCCATCATAAACTAGCTTACATATGTATGTGGATTTAATAAACTTAGCATTTATGACTAATATAAATAATTGTCTCTTGGGTAGATAAAGGGTTCGAAAATCATCAATATGGCTGATCTCTCTCCTACTTAATAGCTCTGCCTTCTCTGTACATTTCACTAGTGGTATCCCGGTTTAGCTATCTATCATTATGATTATATGTATACAGATTCTGTAATTATGTCTTCAGTCATGTTTGAGAATAGACAATTTTCTCTGAAATTATTTTGTAATCCTGGACCAAACACTTGATAATTATTTATTCATTTGATGATCTTCTTAAAAAAAAAGATGACACCACATCCCTTAGGACCCCCCAACACCCATTTGATGATCTTCTTATCATTGGTAGTTGTGGTCGGGAGTCCTCACATTTCTGCGCCTTAAATAATGTTTGACGTGTGCTAGCCATAATTTTGAGTCCAAATGAATGGTGCTGTTTAATCTCAAAATCTTGGAGTAAGTTTTACTCAAAATATAATGTGATGTTTGTTTAGAATTTGTGTAACTTTTAATCATTTTTTGGTGATATGAAATTTATTCTTTGACACAATACATATTTATCAAAGAACAATTCAGCCATACATACTACGTATATATTAATCATGGAGCTCATAAATGAGACCCAAAAAAAACATGTTACCAGTAATGGCCTAATGCGCAGTTATTTGGGAATGGAAAACTTAAACACAGATACCCGTAGTACAAGAAAGAAGTTGAGGGATGGGAATAAATTCAATGACAGCAATTCGGACAGAATTTTGGCACTTTTTTATCGACCCACTTCAGGATTTCGCATGGCAGGATCGCACAAGATTTTCCACGCTCCGAGACTCCATTGAAAAAACCTTCGCAGCTATCACAACAGCACTTCGCGCCCGTACACCTGCATCATAATACCAAATTTCAAAAAGTAGACAAAATTAATTAATATAATGCCCAACTGTTTTTTAATAATCCCACAGAAAATTCATCCATATATCTTAGAGAAAAGGGGCAAATAAGGCTACGTACTAACCAAAAAAGGTCAAATAAGGCCTTATTTAAGAGGCTCTGTCCGGCCATCGCCATTTGAGGTGGTTCCCGGTGGAATTTTTTGATGAATTTTTTTGAGCATCTTATTCAATAAGTCTAGTTTACTCATATCAAATTTCAGCTAAATCTTCAATTGGAAAGGCATTCAAATGAATTTTTGAAGATAATTGCGCAGTTAAAAGCGCAGTTATCTTCAAGAATTCATTTGACTACCTTTCCGATTGAATTGTTAGCTGAAATTTGGTATGAGTAAACTAAACTTAATGAATAAGATGGTAAATAAAATTCATCAAAAAATTCCACTGAGAACCACCCCAAATGGCGAAGGCCGGACAGAACCTCATAAATAAGACCTTATTTGATCTTTTTTGGTTAGTACGTGGCCTTATTTGCCCCTTTTCCCTATATCTTATAAACACGATACAATATATATCAGTGTTTTACATAGCTGCCGTAGCGGACGCCGTAGCGGTCATCTCGGTAGTGGCCTGTAGCGGTCGCAGTGACGTGAAATATTTTCAAAATAATTATGCCATTTCATAAAATTTGGATCATGATTTTTATTAATATAACATTATAAAAGTTATAAATTTTAAAAAAGTTATAAATTTTATACTTTTAAGAAAATACTTTTAACAAAGAACATTACTATTTCATTTGTATATTATAAATAATTTTCAATAAAAAGATGTACTCCTCCGTCCCGAAAATATATTACTTATGTGAAAATTGTTGTCCTTTCACAATCAACTTTTAAGAAGTGGACGATGCATTCCAACTTGCATAATCCATAATAATGCCACTTTCGTTCTAAATTGTTTTGTTAAGTCAACATTTTTTCGTCAACCTCTATTAAAGTTAAATCATCCTTATTACAGAGTAATAATTAATTTCGTTTAACAATTAAAATTTAAATATTTATTAATATTTGGTATTTTGATCTCATAATGTATGTGGATACATGTACATTTAATTTAAAGTTTTACTCCATCCATCACCCTAATGTATTTCACATCATGCATACAAAATTTACACATTTACACATCAACCAGTTCGTGATGTACTGCCTAAAGTGCCGGTAGCGGGCGGCTTAGCGAGATTTTTCTGTGATTTGAAAATCACACCTTGATAGCCGCCCGTAGTGGTACCTACCTTGACGGCTATGGGTATGTTTGGCACGACTAGCTGAAAAGATACTTTTGTGAGCTTTTTAGTAACTGTTAGCTTTTAGTAACTGAAAAGATCTTAAAAATAAAAGGTCACAGCTGTTTGGTAAAAAGCCGACTGTTTGATTTAGTTCTGTTTGGTATACAAGCTGTTAGGATAAATTAATACTAAAAGTCACGGTCTTTCTCAGATGCTACTCCCCGTAGCATCTCAAAAAGATCTTTTATTTTGAAAAGCTCTTAAAATGTGTCATGTCAAACATACAACTAAAAGCTTTTAGAGACTTTTTAAATAGTACAAAAGCTAAAAGACAGAAACTTATGTCTACCAAACATGCACTATATAGCGACCTTGGTAGCCGTAGCCCGTAGCGGCCGGCTATTTAAGACAGTGATATACTAGTATGTAGGAGCCTATCAGCCTATGGTGACATAATCCGGCCCAGATGGACAACCGGACCAAACCTTAGACCGGCTGTACAAAGGACCCAGTTTTCTAAATATTCTGACCCATTCGAACCGACGGATCGCAACAAAAGGCTCTAACCACCACATATCGGTAGTCGCCCTTCGAGGTAAGCTTGAACTTTTTTTTCAGTATTATCAAAAAATTTAGAACACTTTTAAAATAATATTAAATATTTTAAAAATTCATTATGTTTGTAGGCCCCCACGACATACACAAAAAATGATTACACAAAAATAAATTAATTAAATAATCATGTAAAATCTAGTGAAACTCGGTCTGGGAGCATTAATTGTTGATTCTCCTAATTAAGAAATTATTATGTACGTACCCAATGCAACTTACAACGAGGCCTATTAGCATGACGGGGAGAGAGAGAAAACAAGGGGGAACGCCACAGATGCAGACTTCGCAGTCGCATTCAAAATCATCACGGGAGCTACAGGCACCCATGGCCGGTGCTGCTGCTTTCAATTCGTTGCCGGCCTTATGTATCGAACGAGTAATTACTATTACTATACTGCTAGTAAAACATATATATTGGCCCCATCCGATCCTTGTATATATACTACTCCGTAATGATGTTTTTACTTGGTCCATAATTTACCGTTCAAGTCTGGTCTGGTTTGTTTGAATGTAATCTGAATTTTTCCGGTTTGGTCAGGTAAACGTCTAGTCTTTGTGTATTTTATAATTACTGAAATCAAGTCTAGTCTGATCCGTTTGATTCTTGTGTAAGATTGAGAATAGTCCCAAGTAAAAACATGTAAGTGCATAAGACAAAGTCTTGGAAGACAAGAAAAGGTTATCGACCTGCGTGTTTTTTTTCAAAAAATCTATTGGTACACATTTTCATACACACACCTACACACTCATGTTTGTGAAGAGTATTTTTTTGTCTGTATACAGACATAACATATTTGAAAAATATGTTATGTCTGTATACAGACATAACATATTTTTCAAATATGTTATGTCTGTATACAGACAAAAAAATACTCTTCACAAACATGAGTGTGTAGGTGTGTGTATGAAAATGTGTACCTCAACCTGAATTGACTATTTTTTTATGTAAGTGCATAAGACAAAGTCTTCGAAGGTCATCGACCTGCGTGTTTTTTTAGTCAAAAAGGTTAAAGCAATTCACCATCATTTTGGGAGTTGAAAATTTTGCAAAAGTTTTATTTTGATTTGAGCTGGATTATTATTTAGAGAGGCTTGTTTATGACTTTATGTGATGCATGTATTGACGTAGACAAGAAATTGATTTGCAAATTTGATTTTTTTTGTCAAACAGTTTAATTTCATTTTGATCATTAAATTAGGTTGTTAATTTTTAATTATATTTTAATTTGAGATTTACAATTTTGAAAAGATTTTAATGTAGTTATGAATATGTAAATTTAATCCGACAGATTGGTCGCCCCACTCTATCTTCTTTCCTTAGCCAATTGAGCACCCCTGATTTAATTTAGTGGTTCTTGTAATTGATTTGGGTGTTTTTAATTTGTTATTTCTTGGAACATCAAGGAGTAGAAATTTCAAAGGAGTACTTTCAGTAAGGTCTAGAGTCTGAAATGATGGG